CTACCACACAGCTTTTTCTGAACCCAAGACTACCTAATGATATCTGGGCATTTTATGTATTGTGTTAGTCAGATCAATGTTGTTTACTGTTTTGTCTTCAAGAGTTACTGCTTTGTGAAATTGTGATGTTTCTAATTTTTTGTAGAAATTCTGTATATTTTTGTAGTGCAGATTTAAAATTTCTTTAAGACCTTATTCTCTAACTTTTCTGTTGAGTTGATTGCATTCTTTCAGTGATACTATGTTGATTGCAGCAACTGCTTTATTAATATCCTTCATGATGGAATTCAGCTCACATTTTTCAAGTCTGGCAGTCTGTTTCTCAGTTGATGATTGTATATGATCCAGTATTTTTCCCTTAAGTTCTTCTTGTCTCATGATCAGTTCTTGAACTACGTCAGGGCAGACCTGTTCTTGTTTTCCTTACTGGTCCAAATCATCTACTTAGTCCTCTGCTGTTTTGACATTGATCTCTTCTACCCTGGTATTTGGTATTTCCATTGGAGAATTTTCCTCTCTTCTGTTGTTATTTTCCAATTTTTTCCCTTTTTTACAAGATTGTTTTATCTCTTCTAATTCTATATTATTAAACACTTTGTTTCGAATGATGAATCGTCTTTGCTCTGCTAATCTCTGTTCAGTAATTTCTGAGTCTGTGTATTTAACTTTCAACAATTTGTACATTTGTTTCAAGTAGTCATATTTCAATGGTTCTGAATTATAATAATAATCCATTATTGTTCAGTTTTCTGACGCACTGAATTTGATGTTTCTTCAAGTTTCTTCCGGTAACCTTACAATGCCGTGCCCTGTTGATTAGCATCAACAATCATCCATGTCTTGTAGTCCACTTGTTGATGGATGCCCAGGGACATCCATCACATTCCTTATTGTATTTTATTAACATTATTTGATAAATAAAACAGAAATGAAGCAATATGATACTGTCGTTCAGTAGGCATTTTTATTTTGAACGTGTGGAGCTTAAGAGGTTTTAACGGTGGCTTCAGAGACACAAGATGATGAAGTGGATTATGCAAAAGTTTTATTTCCATTCCAGCAATTTTCTGCAAGATTATGCTGCTGTTGATTATCCACGAGGAATTATAATAGTTAAAAATAGTTACATATTATTTTTTATATCTAAGCCTTAAATTTTAGATTAATGTAAATTATCTGATGAATTCTAATACAATGAAAGTTGTAAAAATACAAAAATTGCATATGTAAAATATAGATTAAAATTTTATAAACATAAATTTTTATTTTTGTTGCAATTAGAAATGGACTAAAACTTTTCTATATTCTTTATTTAATTCTATATCCTATTCTTTATTTGAAGACAATAGTTAAATATTTTTAGAATAAATTTCAAATTAAAACTACACTAGATAATAAACTAACCAAAAAAGATATAACAATCAAATGTTATAAAACATATTTTGTGTAATGTAATTTCCTGTGTACGCCTTTATCCTGCAGAAAATAACCAAAATGAAAATAAGGGTCCATTTACACACAACAGTGACGTGCTGGCACAGTAACATTTTGGTGACAGTGACGTTGAGCACGGCACAGTGACGAGTATTTACACACAACAGTGATGTGACCATGTTGTCAGTGAGTGGTCATGGACTTTTCTGAGGATGAATTGGCTATGATAGCTATATGTTTGGATGAAGAAGAAAAAGAAATGCAATCAAGAAAGCACCGCAAGTGTGTACATCAAGCATGGACAAAAAATATCAACAGAATGGGAGTTTCATACTCTTTATAAAAAATTGAGATCACGAATATATTTTTTGAATGTTCCAACATGCATTTCATATTTTATTAAACAAAACAGAGAAAATATTTGTTTTGTACCCAATGCCCATGTATTTCGAATGAGATAAATCAAATAGAACAGGGTGTTGATGCACCATTTCAATTAAATGTTCGTCATCCATTGGAAAACAAAATTTACTGTTGGTGAAAATACCGTTTCCGTCAAATGTACTTTCATGGTACAGTCACGCCACTGCCACTGCACAGCATAGCACTGTGACAGACAAGTTTGGACAGGGTGGTTTAAAACTAGATCAACAATTTCCCACAGGCAAAAATTCACTGCACTGTGGCGGCACGTCACTGTTGTGTGTAAATGAATCTTAAAACTGTCAATAACCTACATGGCCATATACCTTCCCCTTTTGAAGTTACCATTGAAAATGCCATTTAACCAGTATGCAGTTTACAAGTCATTGTTTAAGATATTTGTCTTTTTCCTGTTTATTACTAATATAAAAGCTGTGTGTGTAAATTCCTTATAACTTCTGCAATCTCTGTCCAATCACAATGAAATTTTGGTTATATTTGTTTTATGTTCTGATGGAAAGTATAGGCTACTTACTTTACAGAAATATTAGTTATAGAAAAGAACATTTTATTTTTATATCATAATTGACTGCACATGCATTAGTTCTTTCCTTACAGAGAGCAATTGACATCCTGCTGTGTTTATGACCTAGCCCAGGGGTCGGCAGTTTGTCAAGTGAGAAGAGCCAAATTGTCATGAAAACAGGATAACAGAAGTACCAGAGAGCCGCATGTTAATTTAAATGTGCAAAATACGACACACAACAGGGGCGCTTCTAGTGGCTGTTTTCGGCATAACGTTACACGGATGGATGGACACACGTTCAATGGGTTATATATATAGATACGCTTCAAATGCTACCACTCTTATGCGACTCATATTGATCAACGTGAGGGTGGTCATGTGCGGAAGGAGAACAAGTCGAAGTTTGTTCGGCGGCTCTATCTCATAAACTCATAAGTTATAAGGCTGCGGTGAAATGAAATTGGAGTTTATGTCCGAAGAGCCACAAACGTCTATGCAAAGAGCCGCATGTGACTCGCGAGCCGCTAATTCCGACCCCTGACCTAGCCAGAGGAAGAAAAGGAGTTGGGGACTTGCAGTTCCTCCATTACATGTCTTCAGCTGGAAGTATCAAGTTTGGTGGGAAAAATTTAAACTTTAAAAATGATAGTTCCATCATGTCACTTCTATAACAAATTTTTAAAAATTCTTTCCATGGTGACCACGTTATGTTCTATTATCTAGTCGGAAGTAACAATATAATGAGTCCATTATTTAGAAAGTGTTATCACTAATCTAACTAACATACATACAATTCCTCTTTATTTTATCCAAGTGGAATTAAAAAGACACTATTTTGTCAAAAAAAAAAAAAAAAGAATGTTTAGGGAACATAACAGGAAACTTGGTCAGGTAAATTCTAGATCTATATTGCTTCTAGATTCTAGATTGCTTGTTTGCCCACCCTTTGGCGAGATGGTTAAGTGTCAGCTACGATGCTGTCTCCCCATGGTTTTTCTAGATCTAACAGAATAAGAACAATCTTGACCCCTGAAATACATGAAGTTTGACTTAACCAACATCGAATAAGAATGGCTTTGTGAAGGGCTGTAGAAAAAGAATTATGACATCAAGCTAAACTTGAAGCTCTTTTCAATTCTTCAATATCTACTTTCTCATAAAAAATATTCTGTTATGCTTGACGGGAGAATTTCTAGTTTTGTAATAAATATTTAAATGTAGTTCATAAAAATGAAATAGTTATTATATGTCAAGCTTGGTTGATATGTAATTATTGTAGCTTGATAAACTTTGATATTATATATTAGAGCAATTCCTGTTTATTAATAAATTTTTACATTGTATAATTAAAACAATTAATTATCAAATTAAATTAATTGCTAATTACAATTTTTAAACTCTAAGAACTAATAATAAAAAGTTTCNGGACTTTTAGTTTAAGCCAATAGTTATCTAATAATTCATTAAAATATTTAAAAGTTAAAGAATTAAATACTTTGATCATGTTTTTTCTTTCACATCAGTAAATCAAGTCTGGCCTTAGTGACATGGGGTTATGAATGAAGGGTAGATTGCTAAATTTATTTAGTAAAAGGTAGACTTTGTATATTTCCCTTATAAGTTTGTTGAGAAGTGAGTCATTGCCTTTACCGATAAGCAGTAAACAATTATGGACTGAAAGTTTGTTAAAAAAACATATCTTAATATCAGCTTTGAAGAAATAAGTCTACAGAACCAACATAAAACCATGCCAGATTGCAAGTGACTTAGCAATCTTTTTAATATGATGTTTATTTAAAGGTCAATTTATTGTCGAAAACAACCCTTAAGTCACTATATGAATTTACATATTTTATAGCATATGGTATGAATGAAGGGAGAGACAAATTATGAATTAGTGAAAAGCACATTGCAACAGTTTCTTGAATATCAATTTTTAGGTTTACCTTGTTGAAACTTGATAAGATGTTAAGGTCTTTCAGTAAGACATTAGGATCATGATTTAAAAGTTTAATATTGTGACCAAAAGGTCGGCACCAGACCAGTGATGCCTATGTCAGGACTGACACCATTGTCTTCTAAGGCAGACACAGAAACCTTATTGGCTATGGTTTCGGTTTTGCACAAGCAGTCGCATATGTAGATACTAGGGGTCCGGGATGGAGACTGCCTGAGAGATAATACTATATATTTTTTACATAATAGTAACTTATTGGCTTAATAAAATTTTTTTAATCTTATCTATAAAGCATTTTAAAAGTTTATCCTTGAATATTATTCAAAACTATTATTATATCTGACAAATAAAATCTGAAGATAATATTGTAATGACATTGCTGCTATAGTAACGTCTTTGAAAAGTATCCAGGAAAAAATACACATTTTTTTCTTGTATTTTTAATGAAACTTTTAAATAATAGAATTAGAAACTTTGTCACACTTTTGACTGATGAAAGTGAAATATGTATAAATTCATTTATAATTATTTAATAAATTATGAATAGTATTTTATTAAAGTAATTTTTAAGAAATTTACTTTAATATGAAAAAGGAATTAATAAAATTTATTAGATATTTTATGAATTTCAATGATTTTAACAAAACATTTTTTAAACAGTTAAAAAGAAGCCAGGAAAAATTGTGCTGCCTCCAGAAAATACATCAATGTAAGTTAAATTTGTGTGTATTTTTTTAAAAACTATCTCAAATTATAAATATAGATAGATGTAAACAACCTAACTTTAAAAAATGGATACACTGCAATTTGAATACAGAAATATATATATATTTTAATCTAACAACTAATCATTAGACTTCCAAGATATAAAATGTTGTTTTTATTATTTATATATTCTCATTATATTTCATAGAAAGATGAAGCTGAATGTTAAGCTGATATAATTCAGAAGAAAAGATTTTTAAAATTTATATTGGCTTAACATTTAATATCATTATGATGGAACCAACTTTTTAAAGTAAATAATAGATTGAATGAATAAATTAATTTTGAAGACTAAGTCTTAAGTTAGATTTCTCATCTTGTTTATCTTCATTAGCAATCTTCATTAAGTTTGCATAATCTCATTATTTTTTAAAATTTTATTTATTTATTTTTCACTTAATAGGAAATGTCAAAAGACAACTGATTTCCACCTCCTGTTACAATTTACCCAAAACTAACAATAATTCAAATTTTAGAAAATAACAATGACAAATAAATATATATATATATATATATATATATATTAAACAAACAAAAAAGAATAAATATATATATACATTCCTTTTTGTCATTGTTATTTTATTTATGCATATATGCATAAATAAAAATGTCAAAAAAGAATGTATCACATCATTCAATTTTATACATTTATGTGAAAGTTATGTAACATATTCAATCAAATCAAAAGCCCAGATAATATTCTAATGGTGCATTACATAAACAAAGGGTTTGAAGTGCCAGGCCTGGACTTTGCACAGGCAATAAAATAAAAATGTTATTAAATCAAAAATGCAAAAATTACTGTATGTAATGCAAAACTCTATTTATTAGTAAAAACCTGAATATGTACAATCAAGAAATAATGTTAGAGAAAAGACTTGCAAAATATAAAGATAATTTATCAAAAATACAAAAAAAAAAAAAAATTATATACAAAACTTTTCCGACAATTGGAAACTTACAAATTAATCTATAATTATCTTAGAACTATCTCCACAAAATCAAAAAGCACATTGAGTCTTGTGAATTCGTTTAACGATCATCAAGAAACTATGTTGTCACTGAAACTGGAAAGACTTTCATCAATCTCACTTGATTCTTAGCACCATCTCGATCGATTTTTCAATTTGTCTCCTCCTTATAGTGTGGTTGGGGTGATCATATGCCCACTTGACCCTATTTACATACATAATCATTAACATTTCATTCATTCTAGTAATTGGTCTTGTTAATTCATGTAATCTCTTAAAAGAAATTATATAATTTTTTATTGCATTTTTTTATGACAATTTGGGGTGGGTGATCATTCTTTTAACTTCCTGTGGAAGTCTCCCATCCAAGATGTCATTTCTTGGTTTGATGATGTCATAAGTTGCTGCCAACAGTTGTAGCAAGGTGAGTTAATTTTGAATTTTGCCCAGGTGAGGTGCTGTAATCTATCTGTAACAAAATAAAATTTCCCAAAATAAATAGAATAATGAACTAAAAATAATCCTCAAACAAAATAGAACAGTCAGTACTCCTTACAGTGTAAATACATAGATATAAACAATAAAAACTGACAATATTATATATAAAAATAATTAATTATACATTATATAAAAAATATTGACAAATGTGTTTGTGCTTTGTAAAATCAAGATGATGATGATTTTCAACAGGAGACATGTTCTATGCAGCAATAAAAAGAAAGATCTTTGAGATAATGATAGATGGTAAAAAGAAGTATGTAAACATGATTTTGAGCAGGTTTGCCTGGATGGGACTTTTAGTTTAAGCCAATAGTTATCTAATAATTCATTAAAATATTTAAAAGTTAAAGAATTAAATACTTTGATCATGTTTTTTCTTTCACATCAGTAAATCAAGTCTGGCCTTAGTGACATGGGGTTATGAATGAAGGGTAGATTGCTAAATTTATTTAGTAAAAGGTAGACTTTGTATATTTCCCTTATAAGTTTGTTGAGAAGTGAGTCATTGCCTTTACCGATAAGCAGTAAACAATTATGGACTGAAAGTTTGTTAAAAAAAACATATCTTAATATCAGCTTTGAAGAAATAAGTCTACAGAACCAACATAAAACCATGCCAGATTGCAAGTGACTTAGCAATCTTTTTAATATGATGTTTATTTAAAGGTCAATTTATTGTCGAAAACAACCCTTAAGTCACTATATGAATTTACATATTTTATAGCATATGGTATGAATGAAGGGAGAGACAAATTATGAATTAGTGAAAAGCACATTGCAACAGTTTCTTGAATATCAATTTTTAGGTTTACCTTGTTGAAACTTGATAAGATGTTAAGGTCTTTCAGTAAGACATTAGGATCATGATTTAAAAGTTTAATATTGTGACCAAAAGGTCGGCACCAGACCAGTGATGCCTATGTCAGGACTGACACCATTGTCTTCTAAGGCAGACACAGAAACCTTATTGGCTATGGTTTCGGTTTTGCACAAGCAGTCGCATATGTAGATACTAGGGGTCCAGGATGGAGACTGCCTGAGAGACAATGTGGCAGAAAGAAGTGCACACTACAACTTAATTATAAAGAAATAATACCTGTTTATTCCTGTAAACTATTTACACATATGTTTACAATAACATTCTGTTTAACTTTTATACAGCGGCAAAATAGATGAGCTCTAGTAGTGTAACATACTGGATAATATGGATATGTAACATTAATCTATTGGACTTTATACTAGTAGATATGAAGTTAGCGCATTCCTAGCTGAGAGAGCTTACATTATGATGCCAAATACCTTGATAACATGATTTATGGGTTGTAGACAATGTGCATAAGTAAAGATAGGCACACAATAAAGCTGAAATGCAGAGGAGAGAACCTAGAACAAGTAGATGATAGATTCTGCTACTTAGGAAAAATATTTTATTTAAACAACAATTTAATAAAGGAAATTAGAAGCAGAATTGGACAAGCTAAAGACAAGTTTAACCAGGTGAAAAACATTGTGTGTGAAAAGAAATTAAAGCTTCAATTCAGACAAAAAATGCTAAAATGCTACATTTGGCCCATTTTGCTTTACGGATGTGAGACATGGATACTATGGAAAGATATGGAGAGGAAAATTGAGGTTTTAGAGAAGTGAGCAATTAGAAGAATAATTGAAGATAAAGTGGACAAGCAGGATCAATAATGAAACAGTTTTACAGATGGCAGATACAAAAAGAGAATTAGTAAATATAATTAAGAAGAAAAAATAGCATACTGTGGACACATACTGAGGGGAGAGAAATATGAAATCCCCAAATTCATATTAGAAGGCAAAATTGATGGAAAAAGATCAAGGGGAAGAAGACGGGCCTGGATGGAATACCTCAAGGAATGGATGGGAATGGATATGGAAGAAATTATTCATAAAAGTTACAAAAGAGAACAGTGGTATTTGCTGGTCGCTAACCTCCCTTAGGAGAAGGCATGGACAGATGATGATGATCGTTGATTGAATGGATTTGAGGAAATTCATGTTCGTTATGTCGGCTTGTCAGGTTCTTGGATCAAGAAGTTCAAATGTTCAGAGAATGGCAACATTGGACAGAAGCGATGGTCGAAGGGATCGGCGATGGAGCACAGTTAATTACACTTTCTTAGGAAGGAAACAGGGTCAGTGAGCTCTTGGACTCCTGATGACCTTGTCCTTAATTCAATCCTTTTTTATTGGGGTCCTCTCCCTTTGGTTCCGATGTCCTTTTTTTAGCCAATATTTTTTACCAATGGTGAATATTTTTAGTTAGTTTCCAGTGACACATTCGATGTGTCCCTGGAAAAGGAAGTGGATCTGGGGAGAGAGGTGCAATCATCCTCTGATAATTAAATTGAAAATTTTGTTTTCGCTGGGATTTGAACTAATTTAACTTTTGAAAGACAAAAAATTTTTTCTCAGAAATTTCGTCAAATCTGGCTCTCACAATATCATTGGCATAAGAATTACTTTAGAATTAATGTTGTTGAATAAATTATTAATATATACAGAAAAGAATATTGATCCTTGTGGAATGACACTTATTGAGAAAAAAGTAAGGAATTCAAGGTCATTTAAAGTTAGTTTAGTTTTGATGTAAAGTAGTTGTTTATTCACAAGTGGAAAGTGGGATTGATATCAAAGTAATCTTGTAAAACATAAAAGGATTTTGTTTCTATCACATGAAGTGCAGTATAATCAACACAGGGCTTTTTCTTTTCTTTTAATCTGGTTTTTATTTGCCGAGAAAAACCGGATTAAAAGCAGGATGTAAAGAAAATCCTTATGTCCATTGTACTGCACTTCATGTGATAGAAACAAAATAGAAAGACAGATACAGTTTCAAACTAGGAAGATTATATAAAAGGATGTTAGGGAATACAGATTTGAGAGCCTGTGAAATATCGAGATAAACAACATAGGTAGGTTTTTTGTTTTCAAAATTTTCTTGAATTGTGAAGATAGTTTCAAGATTAGTTTTGCAGTAAATGATGATGGTTTCTATAGTGTTGAATGGATTATAGTTTAGAGGTTATTGCAGATACAGTAATCCCCTGAACTTACGCGATAGGTAAGACCAAGCGATAACCGCATAAGTCGAATTCACATAAGTTGGGGTATAATTTCGCAATTTGTGTAAAATCCAAGTCGGATGTATGTAAGCTAATAAATGTTCTCGTTAATCTTATCTTGTCTTTTGATTTGCTCACGGTTGCAAGAAATCACCACATAGTCTCTCGAGTCTCCGTAGATATAACAAACACAGAAATAAATTGTAGCTATGTGTCAATTCTGCATGACACGTCCGAATATGTAAGCTGAACAATAGTGTGGGGGGATTGAGTAATCAAGAGTTGCATGGCGCTCAAACAAAAGACGAATCGACGAGATTTGAAAATTACGTAACTCTGGGTTTGCGTAAGTCGGGGTAGCGTAGTCGAGGTATTACTGTATATTTTTTTATATAAACAGATCTCAAATAATTTTAGCTTAGCTGCTGATATTGTAATAGGTCTAAGAGTTTTTGTCTTTTTGTAATATTTTTATTGCATCAGGACATAGCTGCATTGAAGTAATCTGGAAAAAAGTTTGGATAGTATTATGGCAGAAGTAGGTTTAAGTTTAGAAAAGAATATGACGGGTATATGGTCTGGACTAAAAAGGTTTGAATTTGCTGATGGCTTCTTTAATATCAGAAAACAATAATATAGTAATGATAATTAGGATTGTGAGGGAAAAGAGTGGTAAAATCGGCATCTGGTAAAATTTGAAATAATCTAGCTTTTGTGAGAGTGGGCAAGGAAACTGAGCCCTCTAATCGTCAAGTTGATAAAACTTGCCCACTTTGTCTTTGGGATGGCTTTTTTTCGAGTGGTGAGAGGATTGGGAAAGACAACAGGTGTCTGTGTTTTGGAGTGACAGGAGACAGGTTTCTAACAGACAACAACAATTTATTGTATAACTAAGCCTAAGATTAGATGCGGTTAAATGAGGTTACATATACATTCCTATGGAGAGGATTGACAAAGGTTTCTAATCAGTTTGCACGCTGACCTAATGACCTAGCTCTGTCACTACTTCCGCTGAGAGTTTACAATAATCTATATATATTTCAGTATTCGTTGGCCAAATTAGATGACATTTGTTCAATCAGAGAGAGAGGAATTCGAAGAGGACTGGCGATTGTATGGCGGGTCTTTTTATCGTTGACTTGCATGGGCCGGGACAGTCTGTTCATGGAGGTCCGCTGAACTTGGCACCTAGTCATTGATTACTCCGGCACTAATTAATCTATTCACCTTTCTTTGGACTTTGTATGGGATGACCACTCGGAACTTTGGTGTCTCCACATTTTATGCTTGGTGCCTGGGAAAATGGTCATGTGATCGACTGTTGAGATGAAGGTTATTCCCAGATGCAGTCTAGGTTTCTTCCGATGACGTTTAATAGCAACTGTCCTTCTTTCATAATCAAATGTTTTCCTTTTGCCATCTTGTCAAAATTCATCTCCGTTTGTTTAGAGAGAATGTCATCTGATCCATTCTAGAGCGATGTTTTTTTTTTTTATAACAATCATGTTAAGAAACAAAATTACGAAGTTGTAATTTTGTGTGAAATTTGCTCATTCCTCTGCTCAGGCCCATAGATAGGCCCACAGGCTCACACTTTAATAATATTATAGGCCTCATAAACTACTGGTATTTCATCAGATATGTTTTGTGCATTTTTTGTTACTTTTCAGGAGAACTTAGAGATAAATCTCCAGAAAGTTCAACGGTCTGTAGCAAAATTAGACATAACATTAATTTTGAAAAGCTGTATGGCATTCTTTATACAACTGTTTTCAGAATATACTGTGTATGTATAGGTCGGGAGGATTTCCACTTCATTTCCATTTAGTTCATTGTTTTCTGGTGGCATTTTTCAATTTTTAAACTTTTTATATACTAGGTGTGAACTACTTATAAGAAAATTTATGTATTGTGCAGTATTGTAGAAATGTGTTTATGGCATTATAGAAAATGTCATATATTTTGTTTTGAATTTTGATGTATTTTTAACATACATTACATTTCTATCTAATATGCTATTATGTTTATAAACTATCTATCAATTCTTATATTTATATATATACTCTGAGGATCAAATAAAGATATAAATATTTACCTATGATAAACATACTTTTGTTTTATGCAGAAAGAAGGAATGATCTTGTAATTCAGTTGTTTAAATTTATAAAAAAATTTTTTTGATATTAATTTCACAAATGTAACAAAATAATAACAGATCAAGCATTAAATGCTTAGTAAATGAATTTATGCCATTCACTAATAGTCAAAGATTAATATATGATGTGACATAATGGAAGATTACATCATTGGATTATTTTACTTTCAAGAAATAAGTGATATACCAGTTTCTCTAAAACATGTTAAGCACAGACTGTTTTTTATCTGCTTAAATTTTGAAATTGTTTATCCAATTTTAAATAAATGAACTAGAAGAGAGTTTGCTAGTATTGCCACAAGTATTATTAAAAGAACTAACCTTTTCTCTGGAATTGTGTAAAGTATTTTATCAATCATTTAAAAAAAAATGTAGATATCCAACTCTGCAACATACTATAACAGAAGTGAATAAAATAATACTAGATTGTCTATTAATATATAGTGTGAAATTGAATATTTAATTCTCTTTAATCTTAATGACTAATAGCATTTATATTGAAATCTGTTACATGATAAAAATAACTGAATTAATGCTGCTAACTTTTGAGATTACTTCATTTATGGATTAGTTTTTTACCATAAAGAAATTTTGTTGTTTACACAGCATTTCCAATAATTGTATAATTTTTTTTTTCTTTTTCTGAACTTGTGTAACTGTGATACAAAATTATGCGGTTAATTAGATAAAATAATGAATTATTTTATTAATTATATTTTAACATTAAATATAAAGCTTAAATTCAAATATATTTTTATTATATCAATAAGTAAATTCTTAAGGAATTTATACTTTGTTGAATAATAAGTTTTCAAACAGTATTAAATTAATATATAAAAAATCATAGACATGTAAAGTTATTACTGTCATTACAAAAACAAATGAATAATAAATTAAAATCAATTTAAATTAACATATAAAAACAAAACAAAAAGTATGTAGTACAAAAAGTTCTCAGTATTGAAAGAAAGTATTGATATGGTATCAATATCAGCAGTATTGGGATATCATGTATTACTATTTAACAGATGAAATTACTAATAAGCGTACTTATTAATAACAGATTTACTAATAAGAAAATTGAGTTAATATATTTGATTTTATTAAGAAAAAATTGTATATTCAAAACAGTATTTTTATGGATTGTTATACTAAAATACCACTAATTTTAAATATTTTCTGATAACTAGTTCTTTACTTTTTAACTATTTTTATTTTAAATTAACATTATATTTTTTGAAATTTTACAGTACACCCCCTCGAAATCTGGACAAAAGAACTACTATTACAATAGGCGAACGTGTATTTGAAGTAGAAGCGGATGATTTAGAACCGATATGTGAATTAGGAAGAGGTGCTTATGGTGTTGTTGAAAAAATGAGACATCGACCCACAAAAACAATAATGGCTGTGAAGGTATTTATCAAAATTATATTGAACTGGTTATAGAAAGCATATCCAAAAGTAAAAATATTAGAATATAGACTTAATACAATTTTAATAACATCTATTGCATTTTTATTTACAAAACCATTTTGTGATTTTTTTTCAAAACTTGCATGTATGTATACACATACTCAAGTTCTGTGTGTGTATGCATGTATATGTTTGTGTATGCCCATATAAGCATAAATAAAATACAAATAAATAGTATGCCAAATCTTCTTCTAAATTAGAAAAATTTGATATATATCTATTTATTAGGATTGATCAAATGAAACTCATTCATGCCATGTCATGTGGTTCAGCACAAGGGGAGGGAAATGACATCACATGTAGCATGATATGCATACATCAATAAACAAGTGGTGAGATCAGTTGTCTTGCACATTTTTTTTTTGGCATAGAGTAGTAAAAACATGTCTGAAGTCATTTTAAATCTATCCAAAGTTAGTTAAAACTTGGTGCCACCACTTTGAGCCAACCAGGAGACAAGTGAGCATTCAATGGAAACACCCTGGCTCACCAACACACAAAAAATTCAAATCACAGGCCTCCACCTATAAGGTTATGACAACTGCATTTTTTGACATAGTGTAGCCATTGCTGATGGACTTTAAAGATCCTCACATGAACATCAATTCCAACTGTTACAATGAAACATTGGACACGCTGCATAAAGCCATAAAGAGTAAGCAACCAGACATGCTATCATGTGGTGTGATTTTGCTGAAAATGCTTGACCACATGTTATGAACACTGTGCAGGATGTTTCAGCACAAATGGTTGTGAAGTTCTGCACCACCCTCCTATAGCCTCAATCTGTCACCATGTCACTTTCATTTGTTCGGACCTTTAAGAAAAGCTCTTAAGGGAAAACACTAACTCTGATGTGGAAGTCAAGGAAGTAATCACCCATTGGTTCAAAGACCAACTAACATCATTCTTTGCAGATGGTATCTGTCGTGTCTCCAAGCAGTGGGATATTTGTCTGAATGCCTATGGTGACCTTTTTATGAACAAAAGTGCATTCTGGCTTCTTCATATATTGCTTTAATTATGCCTAAAATTAAAAACAAATATACTGTTTCATTTATCTTAATAAATTTACTTGACTGGGTTTCATTTGATCAATCCTTGTATATTTCATTCTAACTGCATTGTTAATAATTAAGAATTATGGGTTAAAATTCTATTCTGATTTCCAATATCAAATTTTTTATCATTAATGATGTTACTAGCCAAATCAAATGTAATTGCTGTAGAAAATTTTTATTTTTGCTATTTTATAATAATGGAAATTAGACTTTAACTTAAATGGCTTTTGTTTTATATTGTAAAATGTGTTAAATACAATAATTCATATTTATTAAATTTTTATTTTGTTTAAACTTATTATTTGCAATTAAATTTTACATTTAATTATAATTAAGTAATTTATATATTTTAGAGGATTCCAGCAAGTTTTAATAATGATGAACAAAAACGGCTTATAATGGATCTCGATATTTCAATGAGAAGCAGTGATTGTCAGTTTACAGTTCAGTTTTATGGGGCTTTATTTAGAGAGGTAAACATATTGTTAAATTTTAAAGAATTTAATATGAAATTTTATTAAATTCTTTTAAATTCATTTAAATTTCTATCTATTTTAATATAATAATAACTGTAAAATTATTTTTTAGGGTGATGTATGGATATGTATGGAAGTTATGGATACTTCTTTAGATAAATTTTATCCTAAAGTTTACAATTTAAATGCAACTATACCAGAAAATGTTTTAGGAAAAATTGCCTTTGCTGTAAGTTTAAAATTATTTATTATTTTCTCATTTATTTCTATATATATTTTTAACTGAACTATAGTATGAATAGTTTGATTATTCCTGCTTGAAATAATTTCAAATACAGATGTTTTTGAATATTTAAACACATTTTAGTGCTAATTTATGTTCATCATTCAAAAACAAATAGTAACTAACCACAACTCCAAACTAGCTGTATGTGCAACAAATAACAGAAAAACACCAAGCAACCAGTAAAAAGACACATATTTAATTTCACAAAAGTTTGTAGATAATGATCATTGTAGATGAAAGAAAATGTTTGTAGAATTAAATGTTGTTTACTGGTAGCTTAGATTTTTTTTGTTCTTGTTGTTGTTTGTTGCAAATATTTGCTAATGGCCATATTCACAATCAAGAATTAAAAGTTAGAGTTAGAAGTTAACCAATTACCATTCACTTTATTCTTAGTACATACTGTGTATTGTTATCTTCTAACTGAAATTCTTGATCCTCAGTTGTGAATAAGGCCATAAATATATTTTTCAGTAATTATTTGGGCTATTCATATACCATTTAATGCCAACATTTAGATAGATCATATAATGTGGCATACAAGTGTATTATGGGGAAAAATAGCATAGTGATTACAGTAAATTTTGAAGTTATTGTATAATTAAGATTAATGATACAAGAAGTTCAAAATCAGTGTGACTATTCAATAGTTTTATCACAACCAGAAAAATTAAAAAACTGAATCTGAAAAAAGTGTTGTGCTAAGATACTATACAGATTTTATTAATGAGTTCTCTGTTTTTTACTTGACATAATTAAGCAGAAAGAGAAAAATTTTATAAGCACTATCAGTAATGTTGAAACGTGTTTTTTACTTATATATATATATGCTATATGTATACTAATAATAATTTATTTATTTTTTTTTTTTTGAAAAAAAAGTCATAGAATTTGATAATTGGCATTTAGTAAGCCAAGCAATGGTTTAGTGAATCAGTTTTTTCATAATTATTATTTACCTAGTGCAAGAATGTGTTTTCACATTCTTAGATGCAACAAAAAATTAGCTACATCTGTGTTAATGGTATAAAAATTAGAATGTGCAGAAGTTTCTGTTTTTTTAACAAGTAGTGTCATTTACATTGTTTAATGAAGAAAATTTCAGTTTATAAAGTTAACCATCATTTAAAAATGGGATATGGTATTATTTTATCTGTTGTTCCTTTTAAAATATATATTATCTGACTATGAAAAGGGGCTATTGAATAGTCATGGCTATTATTCAAATAAATCCAGTATAACGGCACTGTTAAATAAATGATGCAGCTGCAAAATGAAAAAAGTTATAGACAGCACACTGTTTATTAGAATCAAAACAGTATATAATTTATATAATATATAAATTTATTTTCTAGGTTGTAAGTGCACTTCATTATTTGCATAGTGTTTTGCATGTTATTCATAGAGATGTTAAACCTTCCAATATTTTAATAAATCGAAAAGGAGAAGTTAAAATGTGTGATTTTGGAATCTCTGGGTATTTAGTAGATTCTGTCGCAAAAACAATGGATGCTGGCTGCAAACCTTATATGGCAGTAAGTATTTTGACTAGTAATTTAAAAATAGGAATAACTTAAAATCGGAAATTTTGCACATAATTTTATATCAAATTTTAAATTTAATGAATTAAATTTTTTCTTAAAAGATAAATTTCATACTGATCAAAAATTGCACTTGAATAAACTATAAATAATTATAAAAAACTGGTTATAATTTAGTTTTCTAATTTTGTACATAATACAGGAATGTATCTATTTACTTCATAAAATTAAAATTTCAAAAATAAGTAATTATAAATATCATTCACTAAATGTTGAATAATAACTTAGTAATCAGTGACAATAAAACAAACACACTATATCATTTGATATATTAATAATTATATTCCTTCTGAAATATATATTGTCTGCTATTGCATATTTATAAAAGAAAAATAAATGTAGTCAATTCTGCTTAATTGGGAATATCAGGATGTCCCAATAAAGTGGCTGTTGCAATAAAGAGAATTTTAAGGAAACAAACAAAATTTTAAATGAAAAATGGGCAATAAAGACAAAAACCACTTATTGAGAAATATAATTAATATTCAGTATTATGTACCATACATATATGTATGGTACATATTTGTAAATAAATTTAAGTTCAAAAACAAGTAAAACAGCAAAGCCGTATTTGGGGCAAGACTATGTCTCGGAGACTCACTACTAAGTGGAATCACTTTGATGCTCAAGCGGGTCTTGTTCTCGTTCTCCAATCATCTTTGGTGTCACTGGTTTTGAGCGCGATTGTTGAAACTTCACCAGCCACATCCATGAGGTCAACCACAACACATTTTCAGTGAAATTAACCTATCCGTGTCAAAATTTCTTTCCGTTGTGTGTTGGACCAGGTGGAATTTTTGTCGGTGCCTAATGAAATTTCCCGTCTTTGAAAAAAATAATCGTGGCTATTGTATTGTCCGAAATTATTTTTTTATTTTGCACAAACAATATACAGTTTAACCCAATTATAATGTCATCAGATGTAACGACAACGCTAATATAATGTCTTTAGTGGCGTGGCTAAAATCTGTATGTGGCCCGTCCTACCTTGTCTGTGATCTCCACATCTTTTGTTCTGCCGATAAAAGTTAACTGGGAAATGACCCAGGCAAATAATTTACTTTATTTGAATTGGCTACGTGATATTTACAATAGTGTCAAGATAAAATACAAACCCAAGATCAGCACAGCTGTCGACTCGAAAGGTTACCTAATGTAAAGTGAAAAGCTGTCTCTCCTTGTTGGAGTTCAGGAGCAAAGTGAGATCAGAGAGGAAAGGTCATATGGTGGCACCCTTTGCCCTACACATCAAATTTTTATCAGTCCCACGATTTTACTATACTAGATAATGTTAAAAAACCGTTTTAACATAAAAAACCGTAACGACATAAAACCGTTTTAACGTCATATTTGAAGCACTCCCAAATTACAAAATTAGATTACAAATTTTATTTAACATAGAAGAAACTACATGTTCAGTCCTAAGGTCAGAGTTCACTTCTTAGAATGACTGTGGGTAGTACTCTGCCCACCTGACTTCGGTGGGGTGAGGTGCCTGTTTGTAGAAGAGGGTTGCTATTTGTATTTTATTTTAACTCGGTTCTCGGTCCCCTGACTACCTACGAGTCTGGATTTTTTTATGCGCAAATGATTTGGGCACCTAATACTCTGTGCCAAATATCAACTCTCGACATGTTCTCCTTCATATCTCTATGCTGGTAATAAAAAACGGCAGTACAATTTTATAAACAAGACAGTCTTGTCAATAACATTAAAATATAATCATTAAACAAAACAAAAAATTATATTTGCCAAAATTTGTTGATCATTCCTTGAATGCATTTTCATTATACTTTGCGAGTGGATAAAATATTGTCTTAATTTAAGAGTAAAATTTTCTGACTCAAGTTTGCAGAGCTTCACTCAATAATAATTCTCACATTACACAATTAATTCTTCTCATTGTTTTTCTTTTACTTTTTAGGACAGTTTTGTTTGTTTATGAGGGTGACCACCAAGGTTTCTTATCGGATTTGCTAATGTATTGTAGAAATGAAATACTGTCGACCCCCCCATAACACTGTTGATAATTCCGTTTTATATGAATTCCATGTTTTACGAGTCACTTAGATTTTACAAATATGTGAGCCGTTCACAGCCTGGCACACATATTTGTAAAATCTGAGTAACTCGTACTGACTCGTACAACATGGAATTCGTATAAAACAGAATTATAAACAGTGTTATAGGGGTCAACTCTAATATACAGTTGATGAATATTGAGTTTCTGCATAAATTCCAGGCTGTAAAAAATTGAATGATTGGAAAATAATCAGTTATCCATGCAAACATAAAATTACAAATAACTTATTACTGTCACTGAATATTAAAAAATTAAAAGAAATTGAATTTTAATAATTGAAAAGTTCAATTAGATATATTATATTGCATGTAAAAATGTTTTTAGATTGATATTAAATGCTATTTTATTTTTAAATAATTTTTTTTCTTTTAGCCAGAAAGAATTAACCCAGAAAGAAATGCTCAAGGTTATGATATCAGATCAGATGTTTGGAGCTTAGGAATTACACTAGTATGTAATTTATTAATATTTTAGTTTAAATTACTTAATAAAAATGACTTTATCAAAAAAATTATTTTTATGATAATGCTGTAGCAATTATTTAATTTGGAATAACTTTTATTAATAAAGCTGTAATGTTTATTAATTTTTAAAATTACTTTAAATAGATAGAATTAGCTTCAGGTACTTTTCCATATGACACATGGAAGACACCATTTGAGCAACTAAAACAAGTTGTGAAAGATGATCCCCCAAGACTTGCCCCAGGGAAATTTTCTTCAGAATTCGAAGACTTTATTTGTCAGTGGTAAGTTTTATTTGTGATAAATTATAATTGCTTAAAAAGTTGTTTTTCAAAAGTCTTGAAATGCTAATGATAAAAACATTTCAACAATTTGGAAAGCAAGATTTAATTTAAGTGGCTCCTTGGCTAAAGGTTTGATTCTCTGTTTTCTGCCCAGCATTATAGTTATTTCATCTTTGAAATCTACAAATCTTGGCACCATCATAATAAAAACAGTTCTTTTGATACTGCTTGTTAAGGTAACCAACTATTTTATTTACAAGAAGTTTTATTTAAGCCATCTTCAGTTTTACAACTTGTTGCAATGAACATTCAAAGTTATGCTTGTACTGTATTATTTAAAATTAAAACTTGAAAATCTTTTAATACTACATAACAAATTGTCAGCAACATTTATGATAAGATTGCCAATCTTGTGAAAATTATTTATTTAACAATTGTGCTAAGATATGTGGATTTCAAAGATGAAATTTCTGTTTTACAATAAAGAAAATAACTTTCTCTAGTAGACAATACGTACATAATGTGTGTTTATACAATTGGTTCTTTCTCACACATGAGGGATAAGACAATTCCATGGCGGAGTCTATCTTTTATTTGAGGCTTCTCATCCGCCTCCAAATGTAAAATAGTGTAACATTTCCCTCTAGCAGTGGCAGCACAATTAAAATGAATTACATTTTTTAAAATTAAGCCAGGATGATTTAATTTATAATAAAGAAAATAACTTTTATGAAATTTCTGTTTTCTACCCAAGATTACAGCTAACTAGCAAGTAAACTTGCTTAGGTTAGAAAAACAATACAATCAATGTAGAATTAATAAGGTGTTCCTGATTAGCATATTTAGAATTTCACTGCCAATGACTAAAAATTTAAACCCTTAAATTATGAAAAAATGTTTAAAAAAATTGCTGTATAAAAAAAACACATAGTATCAAGGCTAAGTTAGCAAAAATTAAAGAGGACATTCATCTTTATGCTATCACTGAAGTAAAATTAAAGGCAATACAAGGTCTGTTCAAAAAAATAACCAAACTTTTTGAATTGGGCAAAAACAGTGTGTCCTAGTGTCATGCAGTTGACAACACTGTGTTCTTGATANGTGTAGCCATTGCTGATGGACTTTAAAGATCCTCACATGAACATCAATTCCAACTGTTACAATGAAACATTGGACACGCTGCATAAAGCCATAAAGAGTAAGCAACCAGACATGCTATCATGTGGTGTGATTTTGCTGAAAATGCTTGACCACATGTTATGAACACTGTGCAGGATGTTTCAGCACAAATGGTTGTGAAGTTCTGCACCACCCTCCTATAGCCTCAATCTGTCACCATGTCACTTTCATTTGTTCGGACCTTTAAGAAAAGCTCTTAAGGGAAAACACTAACTCTGATGTGGAAGTCAAGGAAGTAATCACCCATTGGTTCAAAGACCAACTAACATCATTCTTTGCAGATGGTATCTGTCGTGTCTCCAAGCAGTGGGATATTTGTCTGAATGCCTATGGTGACCTTTTTATGAACAAAAGTGCATTCTGGCTTCTTCATATATTGCTTTAATTATGCCTAAAATTAAAAACAAATATACTGTTTCATTTATCTTAATAAATTTACTTGACTGGGTTTCATTTGATCAATCCTTGTATATTTCATTCTAACTGCATTGTTAATAATTAAGAATTATGGGTTAAAATTCTATTCTGATTTCCAATATCAAATTTTTTATCATTAATGATGTTACTAGCCAAATCAAATGTAATTGCTGTAGAAAATTTTTATTTTTGCTATTTTATAATAATGGAAATTAGACTTTAACTTAAATGGCTTTTGTTTTATATTGTAAAATGTGTTAAATACAATAATTCATATTTATTAAATTTTTATTTTGTTTAAACTTATTATTTGCAATTAAATTTTACATTTAATTATAATTGTAGATACTAGGGGTCCAGGATGGAGACTGCCTGAGAGACAATGTGGCAGAAAGAAGTGCACACTACAACTTAATTATAAAGAAATAATACCTGTTTATTCCTGTAAACTATTTACACATATGTTTACAATAACATTCTGTTTAACTTTTATACAGCGGCAAAATAGATGAGCTCTAGTAGTGTAACATACTGGATAATATGGATATGTAACATTAATCTATTGGACTTTATACTAGTAGATATGAAGTTAGCGCATTCCTAGCTGAGAGAGCTTACATTATGATGCCAAATACCTTGATAACATGATTTATGGGTTGTAGACAATGTGCATAAGTAAAGATAGGCACACAATAAAGCTGAAATGCAGAGGAGAGAACCTAGAACAAGTAGATGATAGATTCTGCTACTTAGGAAAAATATTTTATTTAAACAACAATTTAATAAAGGAAATTAGAAGCAGAATTGGACAAGCTAAAGACAAGTTTAACCAGGTGAAAAACATTGTGTGTGAAAAGAAATTAAAGCTTCAATTCAGACAAAAAATGCTAAAATGNATTATTCCTGCTTGAAATAATTTCAAATACAGATGTTTTTGAATATTTAAACACATTTTAGTGCTAATTTATGTTCATCATTCAAAAACAAATAGTAACTAACCACAACTCCAAACTAGCTGTATGTGCAACAAATAACAGAAAAACACCAAGCAACCAGTAAAAAGACACATATTTAATTTCACAAAAGTTTGTAGATAATGATCATTGTAGATGAAAGAAAATGTTTGTAGAATTAAATGTTGTTTACTGGTAGCTTAGATTTTTTTTGTTCTTGTTGTTGTTTGTTGCAAATATTTGCTAATGGCCATATTCACAATCAAGAATTAAAAGTTAGAGTTAGAAGTTAACCAATTACCATTCACTTTATTCTTAGTACATACTGTGTATTGTTATCTTCTAACTGAAATTCTTGATCCTCAGTTGTGAATAAGGCCATAAATATATTTTTCAGTAATTATTTGGGCTATTCATATACCATTTAATGCCAACATTTAGATAGATCATATAATGTGGCATACAAGTGTATTATGGGGAAAAATAGCATAGTGATTACAGTAAATTTTGAAGTTATTGTATAATTAAGATTAATGATACAAGAAGTTCAAAATCAGTGTGACTATTCAATAGTTTTATCACAACCAGAAAAATTAAAAAACTGAATCTGAAAAAAGTGTTGTGCTAAGATACTATACAGATTTTATTAATGAGTTCTCTGTTTTTTACTTGACATAATTAAGCAGAAAGAGAAAAATTTTATAATCACTATCAGTAATGTTGAAACGTGTTTTTTACTTATATATATATATGCTATATGTATACTAATAATAATTTATTTATTTTTTTTTTTTTTGAAAAAAAAGTCATAGAATTTGATAATTGGCATTTAGTAAGCCAAGCAATGGTTTAGTGAATCAGTTTTTTCATAATTATTATTTACCTAGTGCAAGAATGTGTTTTCACATTCTTAGATGCAACAAAAAATTAGCTACATCTGTGTTAATGGTATAAAAATTAGAATGTGCAGAAGTTTCTGTTTTTTTAACAAGTAGTGTCATTTACATTGTTTAATGAAGAAAATTTCAGTTTATAAAGTTAACCATCATTTAAAAATGGGATATGGTATTATTTTATCTGTTGTTCCTTTTAAAATATATATTATCTGACTATGAAAAGGGGCTATTGAATAGTCATGGCTATTATTCAAATAAATCCAGTATAACGGCACTGTTAAATAAATGATGCAGCTGCAAAATGAAAAAAGTTATAGACAGCACACTGTTTATTAGAATCAAAACAGTATATAATTTATATAATATATAAATTTATTTTCTAGGTTGTAAGTGCACTTCATTATTTGCATAGTGTTTTGCATGTTATTCATAGAGATGTTAAACCTTCCAATATTTTAATAAATCGAAAAGGAGAAGTTAAAATGTGTGATTTTGGAATCTCTGGGTATTTAGTAGATTCTGTCGCAAAAACAATGGATGCTGGCTGCAAACCTTATATGGCAGTAAGTATTTTGACTAGTAATTTAAAAATAGGAATAACTTAAAATCGGAAATTTTGCACATAATTTTATATCAAATTTTAAATTTAATGAATTAAATTTTTTCTTAAAAGATAAATTTCATACTGATCAAAAATTGCACTTGAATAAACTATAAATAATTATAAAAAACTGGTTATAATTTAGTTTTCTAATTTTGTACATAATACAGGAATGTATCTATTTACTTCATAAAATTAAAATTTCAAAAATAAGTAATTATAAATATCATTCACTAAATGTTGAATAATAACTTAGTAATCAGTGACAATAAAACAAACACACTATATCATTTGATATATTAATAATTATATTCCTTCTGAAATATATATTGTCTGCTATTGCATATTTATAAAAGAAAAATAAATGTAGTCAATTCTGCTTAATTGGGAATATCAGGATGTCCCAATAAAGTGGCTGTTGCAATAAAGAGAATTTTAAGGAAACAAACAAAATTTTAAATGAAAAATGGGCAATAAAGACAAAAACCACTTATTGAGAAATATAATTAATATTCAGTATTATGTACCATACATATATGTATGGTACATATTTGTAAATAAATTTAAGTTCAAAAACAAGTAAAACAGCAAAGCCGTATTTGGGGCAAGACTATGTCTCGGAGACTCACTACTAAGTGGAATCACTTTGATGCTCAAGCGGGTCTTGTTCTCGTTCTCCAATCATCTTTGGTGTCACTGGTTTCGAGCGCGATTGTTGAAACTTCACCAGCCACATCCATGAGGTCAACCACAACACATTTTCAGTGAAATTAACCTATCCGTGTCAAAATTTCTTTCCGTTGTGTGTTGGACCAGGTGGAATTTTTGTCGGTGCCTAATGAAATTTCCCGTCTTTGAAAAAAATAATCGTGGCTATTGTATTGTCCGAAATTATTTTTTTATTTTGCACAAACAATATACAGTTTAACCCAATTATAATGTCATCAGATGTAA